CAAATGAGGAGGTCAAAAACCTCCTCGATCAGTTTTTTGCCAGCAAAGACCAAAAATTTTATGAGCGTGGAATTATGCTACTACCAGAAAGATGGCAAAAGGTGTTGGACCAGAACGGTCAATATATAATTTAATAAAGTATTTGTTTGTTATACGAAAACTGTCTTTCATTTCCACAAAAGAAAAACGAAATGAATTTCCGAACAACCCTATATAAGATAGATAAGTTTACGTACTTTCCCCATGTTATTAATTTAGTGAAACCGTTTAATTGTGGGGGTGAAGAAGGGTCATGACTTCTTCTGTTTTCTCGTCGTAAAAGGGGATGGTTGATAAGAACCATTTTTGACCTATTCAAAGGTCATAGAAACATTCTAAAGTTATTAGAGTAATTACTTCTTGTAATACTTTTTAATATAATCTCTTGTCTAATATAGATATAAAGTTCTGAATTTAATGAATTCTTTGGTACCAAAGGGTTGTCAGGTCTCCTACTTTTTTTCTAATTTAATTAAACAAAAGTGGGTGAATAACCCCCAATAGTTCCCAAAATATATTCTCTTATATTGAAAGGTACTTAAAAACTTGAAAACAAAATTGCGTCTGTTGATGGATTAATGATTTATATGAGTATACTTTTAGGTATGAGAGTTTAGTTTTGCCAAAAGAGCAGTTGCGGAAAGAAATAGAGTATCTTAAAGAAAACCTAACTCAAATCAATAGTCCTGTTGTTTTTTGCCACAATGATCTTCTTTTAGGAAATGTGATATGTACAGATGACGAAAGTTCGGTTGTTTTCATCGATTACGAATACGCCGCGTACAACTATCAGGCATTTGATATTGGTAACCATTTTAACGAATTTGTAGGTGAGGCAATTTTTGTGCAACTGGATTAAAAATTCAACCATTAAAACAAACGAAAAGTTTCACGAATAGTCCAGGTGAATTATTTGAAAAAGTTTTGACTAGACCGGATTTTTACATAGGTACCTGTAAGTCGATAAGGGCAAGGGGGTCCTGTTTTTCAAAGTGATAAATTTTCTTCAATAAATGGAGATTTATTTAAAATAAAAATCCAACTACTATTATTTTGAAATTTTGGGAAAAGAAGCAAAAAATTAGGTCTAGTTCAAACAACAAACCCAAAAGGCTAATTTGCCTGGACTATAAATGTTTAATCGAAACTCGATAACATAGCGATCGTATATTATATGTTTAGGCATCGAACCAGATACAATTGATTACTCAAAATATCCTTCTAAAGAGTTACAATACGACTGGTTAAAAACGTATTTGTTGGAATTCAAAAATACTGACAGCGTTAAAGACGAAGATATTTATAAATTGTATATACAAGTTAACAAATTCTCCCTTACCAGCCACTTGTTTTGGGGCATTTGGGCTTTGATCCAAGCGGAACATTCTTATATCGATTTCGATTTTATAAAGTGAGTTTACCGGCCGGCTCGTTAATTTTTGAAAGCCACTAAAGCAATTTATTGGTTTTCTAGATATGGTGCTATAAGAATTAACGAATATTTAGCTAAGAAAGAGGATTTTTTGAACTTGGATGGGAATGAAACATCCAGCTGATGCGTCGTTATTTTTGTTATTAGTATTTTGTTTGTTATACACATAAATTTGTTTATACAAAAAATTAAATAAAACGAATGCATATCTAAGTCTCCTTTTTATTCCTGTGATAGGCTTTCCATTAAATACCATACAACGCTCGCCAACGTCTAGATCTAATTAAATCCTATTCAAAAACTGATTTAAATTTCAATTCTTGGATTTTCAACGAGAGGGTTGAGTTGAAACCGTTGAAACGAACCAATAATGATTATAAACACTAAAAGTCTGCAAGGTATCATAGGAATTATATTAATAAGTTATCGTTAATCAAAAACTGATTTGAATCAACGTAATTATTGCTTTGAATCAATGCAATCATATAAAACATTATATCATCATCGTAAGGTCCCCGGTCTAAAAGCAGCACTTCCAATTTCAGTTTTCCGAACTATTTTTGAACAGTAATCTCATCCATGCCTTCCTCTGTCGCTCTTTACTCTTTTTCAGGGTTCCGTACCTCAAAAGAAAAGAGAAACCCCTATGGAATCTCTTCATTGTCAGTCAGTCTGTCTGCCAGGGTCCTTTTTCTCAACAAGGCGTGGAGGTATCATGTTATGTATCATCAAATTAATATACAATCTTGAAATCTCTTTGCAAAAGATACAGCCGGTTATACCGTATATTTTGACCCTCGTAAGGAAATCAAAACCTATAGAGTACTTCCTGCTGCTCCAGAACCATAAATTTGTAATTGCATCACAAAAATACCTACAAGTATATACGGAACCCCTCGCTTCTAGTATGTCTCTAACTACCCCCTCATGTCTCAGAAGGTATCCTTCAATTCTATCTTCCTTTCTTAATGCCATCTGTAGGACCTTTTGTTATTCATTCTAATACGTCCTCATTTCTAACCAGTGATGAACAAACTTAAGACCAAGTCAAGACTAATTTAGTTTTGGTCTTGGTTTTTGCTTTTCGACAATACGTCTTGGTCTTGTCTTGTTCTTGGCAATATGATTCTTGTTGTTCGTCAAGGAGACAGTCGTAAAAATGGAGATACATTAACACCTACACAACTATTGGTTTTTTGTTTAGTTTTTCCTCGAGGAGGGAAAATCTTCAAAAGACACCTCTAGTAGGGAGATCAACCAGAAGGCTGGGAAAGGAGAGAGGGATGAGTGAGGTAGGCAAGTGTTTTGGGTGGAGGAATGGTGTGGACAAAAATCGGTGTCGTTGGGCGGACACCCGCGCTAAAGAGCGAAACAATAAAACTTATAATACATTAAGTAGTAAAACAGGAATTGTCACTATTTATGTGTTTTGTACCAACTCTACGTGTCTAAGGGTAATTTATAGTTTTGATTTGTGTCACGTCATTAAAAGCATTCGCGTGATTTGTCATTGTAACAGGTGGTGAAACTCTTAGCAAATTGTGGCAGTGAGATATAATAACCGTTTATAAGGGGTTTGAGACCTTCGACAGTTACTATCAGCACCTTTTGCAAATGAACACGTTAAATAATTTACAAGCATCTATCATTTTTAATAAGTTTGAAGTCCTTTTCTACCTGTTATTATAGGAGAGGTCCTTTTTCTCTGATGAACGCAGTAAGTAACGCAATCAGATTGTAGTTTCAATATTTCGTCAAGATTTTGTCAGTAATAATTGCATTTCGCTAGAAATATATAGATATTGTCTCTAATAGCGTTTATTTACGTTTATTATTTATTTATTTTATTCACTTTAATACAATATAAAATTCAGTCACAAAATGTGAGGCAGTCTGGCCAGTATTTGAATTTTTATTATCTATAAGGAAAAGAGGTTTTTTAGGGTTCCTTACGTCTGANATTTAGTAGTGGCAGGAAGTTTTTCTATCACTTTTTAATTTAAAAAAAAAAAAAACAATATCCAGATTTGTAAACATTTGTAAAAAGCAAGAGCTTTCGTGAAGACGACTGATCAGAACGATCGTCAACTAGAAGCAAAACCATTGTGATACGTGACTAATTCGCCAGTCTTGTTCACAAAAGTAACAACTTCTAATTATTGATCAATTAATTAATTGTATAGTCGTAGTGTACATTAGTTTTACTTTCTTCTTGAAGGCAAAGAGAGGAAGAGAGAGAGACACTCGTCCGAGTGATATACATATATAATATGATAAGGTTATTGAAATAAAAACTGTGAAAATAGCACAACTACTTTTTAATTTTTAAACATGCAGTTATTAGAGAATGGAGAAGAACGGCTTATTGCTCTGTCGATCGATACTGTTATACAAAAAAAAAAATTACAAAAAATCCCGCTGGATGCAATGCCTATAGTGTAACGTCGTCTATTAATTATTATCGTTGCTTACTACGATTATTGTTATGTATATTGTGTTTGTTGTTTAGTCTCTTGTATATTTGTAACTGCTCACATTACATCGATTAGTAGCAGTCTCTGATGCGAATCATCATCTACATATATACAAAAAAGAGGGTGCTCAAATCCACCTCGTGAGTTGCGCCCCCTGTCCTCACAAATTGAAACTTGTCCTGGGTGAAAAGCACTAGCGAAGATATGATATAGAAATCTATGCGACTGTGTACTCGTGTGGGCTATGCTTTAGACTGATAAAGTCTCAAAATCGAAGCCTGGAACGAGAATGTAGATTCTTTTTTGGTAATTTAGTCCTAAACTACTTTTTTTTATAAATTATGGTGTTCCCGTGTTCGATTTATGACTACAGCAAAAATATTTAAGGATTTGAAAGGCTTTTTGATTATGGACTCAAATCGACCCCATCATAATTTTAAGAACCAAAGGATTGTTATAATTTGTACACATCACCCCACAGTCCAATTGGCAAATGTTACCCCTGCGTCTATTTTATCTTGATCAAGGAATAAATGAAATGTGTATTTTGCGCTCTTACAGTGATTTTGAGAACTAAAAAAACATACTAGAGGAATTTTTCCTTTATCCAGGGCTTGCTCATATATTAAAAATGACGCTCCTTGCGAACCGGATCGGTTGGTATAGGTTTAATTTTAGGAGGTCTGGGGGCCATTTTGAGTATCCTTCTTTATTAAAGTACTTTTGTTTCGAAATCTTAAAGCAAATCGTTTATTTAATAGAATATCTGATGCCTTTTTTGTTTATAATGTGCAATTTATTAAAGTACGATTAGATAGCGCATACGGTTATCACTGAAAGGTAATATTAACGTGGAGACATCTTTATCCAGTATTTACATAAAAAAATGGGATCGCGGGAATGTAACAGCGTTAATTGCGTACCAAATTTTTGAATATCCACACACACGGTTACTTCCTCCTTCTGGTTATTTTTATGTATTTATTGTCATACGCTTCTTTTTTGTTTTTCCTTTCCACACCTCGCATCAGAACTTAATTCAATCACCCCGTAAGTTGTGTTGTCGCATTACTATTTTTATCACTAAATTTCTGTCATCCTACAAACAAAACCCAATAAAGAGAACTCTTAAGGCGAATTGTAAATAAGTATCATATATGTATGTATTGATGATATGGTGTCCATAGTCCATAATAATTTATCATGTAATATGTGCGCTAGCATTATTTCTTCAATAGTTAAGCTTTTTTTCGGTGAAGTCGGAACCCTTTATTAGAGGTTCTTGCTTATCCGAACCAAATACTATTACCTACCCAAAATCATTGTAGCATAAGAAGACCAGTAGATACACTGTGTAGGCCTCGATTCTGGGTCAGAAACCTGTTATGGATTTTGCCATTCGGAATCATACACCAGGCTCTTGCATACTAATTTTGAGATTAAAATCCTCTCTTAAATTAGCACGTAACTGCCTGATGACTGTTATCGAAATTTAAAATCAAGTTCAGTAGATTTTTGTCCAGAATGTGGTCTAATAATGTACCTCTACTATGACATGATAGTATTTCATTCAGTTTGTAAGTTAATTGCCGAAGATGGAAAATAAAAACGATAAAAATGACGGCACGTACTTCTAACCGAATTAAATGTTTGGGGAAGTACATGCATGTTAGGAAATTTGATTGAAACAGCGTAGAAAATTTTGTTGTAAGATGGGAACTATAGCTATTAATGATGAATAAAAGATTTGTACATTCCAGTTTCGAATTTTTGTTTTCATTATTTTGTAAGATTTGTCTGCTTTACTCATATCATGATTCGTTTGTTCACACATCGTTATCGACAGGTAAAAATGCAAGACTACTTTTCGAAATTATTTGTTGCTTTTATTATTCCAACCTAACATAAAATAGCTTTTAATTTAGATTACTGGATATTTGTTCATGTAAAAGTAGCAGTTCTTAAATATACTTTGTTTGTTGTTGATGTTTTTATGTTTACTGCTTATTCATAAACGATTTATATTGCTTTATAAGTGATTTATTAATCATTTTCGAAGTGATAAATAAAATAAAATAGGCTGGTGCCCAATAAATAAACAGGTATGTGAAGCCTTTCGTTTTTTTTTAATTAGTTTCAACCAATAGAAACCATTAAACAGTATTAAAAAATGTATACCACTCCACCAAAGGTGATGAACTAATTGGGATGTACTTTAAATGGCCCTTTTAAAAAGTTTTGTCTGCGTCTAGTGATAAAATACTTTGAAGCCTATCAAAATACTCCCTTATTCCTGAAATTTCGTCTGCATTCTTTAATAAATTGCAGGAGTACTTAGCATCAGGTGGCTGCCGCAAATACATTGCGATGCGGCATAAGTAGAAACTCACTCTGCCGCGTATACAATTTTACAGTTACTTGCCCTTCTCAATGGCACTTTAAAGGACTTTAATAACTATATTTTATATTAAGTCCTACCTATCCTTTTATTTATATAGATTTTCGTTATTGAATGGAATTTATTAGCGTTTTATTATCTGCGACACACTTCAAGATGATTATAGCCATAAAACGATTAAAATCTTTAATTAATTACGTATTATTGAAGGAAAACAATAGGAGTGCTGATTATTTTGAAATTTTGCAAAATTAAAGATTAATGTTAGCAGATGAATAAAAAAAATTGTTAATTGAGTCATATATGTCATATGCTCTACTTCACTAGATTAGAACACATAAAATAATAAAGTATGAGTAAATATGAGCATACGTAAATGCAAATGTTTGATTTGAGTATTGTTTTTGATAATAATTTGATAAGATAAAATCATAATAAAATGTGATAAATGTCAAATACTGTCGCTTCGCACCTGCACGGGTTCAAAGTCTGAGCGTAGCAGAAAAAAAGTAATAGTTTAGGCAACACATTCTACTCACTCAACTTATACAATGTGTTTTTCCTTATCAGTTAATTTTTTGTGTTTTTTATGAATTACAGGTAACGCATTGTAATTTTTATGTAAGTTTGGTACGTGTTTTTGGTAAAGAACATTTTTTTTATCAAGAAGAAAGATTTGTACTTCGTGATATTCTACGTTCGCTTACTGTTTTTTTTTTTAAATTTATTCAAGGTTGTTTAAAGCCATTGTCAAACCGATTATTTAAAGTCATCTGTATCCACTTAATTAAATGTGCATATATAATTGTTCGATGTTGGAAAAGGTCGATAGATGATTCCATGCGCAACAACGTGAAAATCTCCCAAGGTTTTCCATTACTCCTTTACCCGCACGATCCTGTTCATGTCCTGTTTGCGAAAAATGCGTATAAAATGCAGACTCATCGCATTGTTTTGATACCAAGTTGTATTACAATTATTGTATTGTTACAATCAGTGTGTACGTATGGGGAAATATATTAATTATAAAATATAAATTTACTGTATAATCAATTGTTATTTTATCGGAATGACCTGTTACTCTCATGCCTAGTTTATTTTTTAACATCAGGAAATGCCGAAACTGAAGATTAATTAAGGTCTAAAGTATGAGGTAAGATGATACTCTTATATATGCGTAAATATGATATAAATATATTTGATTAAATTGTTTTACAGAAAAATAATGTTCTTGTTTTATTTTCAATGGCGTTTTAATTTATAATTAATTGATTGGGACCATAAAAACTACAGTAACTGTAAAATTGTATTTATTTCAGAGTGGAGTGAATAATATGAACGTATTATCAGTATTACTACAATTATTATTATAATAGAATAAACTGGTACAATAGCAATTTTAAAGCAATTGGTATCGGAGCAATGAGAACGGTAGTAATTTAAATCCAACAATTGAACGGACTTGCAATGTGGGGTACTTGAATACTAGCGGGAGGACGTTATAAAAGTAAAGTGTGATAAGAGAGAGTTAGTTATAATTGTTGTTATTCTTCGTTCACATTATGTACGATATGTACATATAAACATATTTACTTGGAAACGTTACGAACCATTAACTGCGTTTCATGTTATTTACACTGTAAACGTAGAAGAAGTAACAACATCGTTTGTATGTTTTACACTCGATTGTCAGAGGTGCTATCTAGTATATGTTATAAGGTATGGAAAAGTTTCCTCATATACCAATCGAAATACACGAGAACGACCTAAATAATGGAGCCTTACGTATATTGAAAGTTATTAGACCACGTTGGCAGCCGAAAATGATTGAATTTAAGGTACGATTTTTATGTGCTGTAATTTTTAATGTTGGTTACGATTTGCTTATCATTTTCGTCAATCTACTTTTGAAATTATCTTATCTGTTATTAAGTAAACCGCTCGTTATATCTTCTCCTTGAATTGAACGAAAACTTGAGTAGAATAATGAAATTGTTTTTGCTCTTTTGATAAACTTAATTTTTCTTTGTGATGACTATTGTTTCGTCAAAGTTTTGTTTGTTGCGTGTTGTTTGCTTTTTTGCGCATGTTAGATGTGTATTTATTAGTTATAGTAAGTTTCCCAAATTAGCCTTAATCTCTCTCTTAATAGCATCCCTTATGTTCAGCTTTTAACAGACGGTATCACCAACAAATTGGTAAAATGCAGGCTGGAAGGGGAAAAGGAGGAGAACTCAGTCCTGGTTAGAGTTTATGGTCACAAAACTGACCTCTTAATTGATAGAAAGGCTGAAACAAGGTTCGTGAAAAAGATATCGATATCTAGATATTTATTTGAAACGAAACTTTTAAAAATTATACCACTATACAATTTCCGATTTAGAAGTTCTATCCAACGAAAAAAATTACCTATTTGTGTTAATTTTCTAGTATTTTACAAAGTTTTCATATGATAAGACACGAATTGTTGAAGGTTTTGTAAAATAAACGCCAAAGCAATAATTATATTCAGCTACCACTAACGATAAGCCAATTGGTGCATGTAAATAAAATCGAAAATGATAGACATATATTAATTAATGGATGGTTTATTTGAAAATCCATGTTTCATTTTATAACTACTGAAATAAATGAACAACATTTGTTAATACGTACTATTAAGTCAAACTGATTTCGTAATTTGTTTCGGGGAAGTACAAAGCAGTCTAGACAATATTTCTTTCGAAATTACAAAGTTGAAATTTCATTTGCCAACAACTTCATATAAATATAAAGCAAAATTGAAAACTTTTACAACTTAGTATAAATTTCTAGGATTTCCAAAGCATCCAAAACAATTTGATACAGCTACTGATTGTATTAATTTTATCGTGTAGGTACCTCCCGCAATTATCGTCACAAATTAGTACAACCTTCGCGTTTTCAAACCACAAAATGCTGATCAAGGCAATCAAAAAAAATTCAAGGAATTCTTGAATTGATTAATTTCTTATTCGCTTCAAATTAGTGTTTTAGTACCTACTTGACCGTATCTTTTTAAATATTAACAATAATATTTTAGGAACATTAAATTGCTGAACCGAGAAGGTTTAGCGCCAAGTCTGTATGCAACGTTTAGTAATGGTTTAGCATACGAATTTGTACCAGGTTGTACCCTCAATTGCAATTCAGTCGGCCAACCAACAACGTATAAAATGGTCGCAAGACATCTGGCTAAATTGCATAAAGTACGAGAGGGCGTAAACAATGGGGAACATGCTCCAATATTGTGGGATAAGTTAACTAACTTTCTAAACTTGGTACCTCATAAATTTTCTGATCCGGTTAAACAGGAAAGGTAACAAACTCGAATGAATGAGTGACACATAACAGCCGACAGCTTTTAAACTGCAACTATTAAAAAAATTGATCAATGCTTTTTGGGGTATTCCCGGGTCATTTTCTTTAAGTGTAACATACTATAGGGTTGTTCGGAAAGTCATTTCGTTTTTTCCCGACAGAGGATTTAATTGTATTCTTTTGCACCCAACTTCACATTTAAGCCGTATAATTTTTATATGCTTTGAGAGCTCATATAGCAAGGCTTGTGTGTGAAAAATTCCAATTAATTCTACGCAGTAGTTTTTGGTTGGTGCCCTTTTAAATATGGAGAGCGATAAGCAGCATTTTCGACATATCTTACTGTTTTACTACAGAAAGGGTAAAAATGCTGTTCAAGCCAGAAAGAAATTGACTGATGTGTATGGAGAAGGTGTGTTGACAGTACGCCAGTGCCAGAACTGGTTCGCTAAATTTCGATCCGGCAATTTTGATGTCGAAGATGCACCACGTTCGGGAAGGCCGGTTGAAGCTGATAAAGACGCGATAAAGGCATTAGTTGATGTGAACCGGCGAATAACAACACGTGAGATCGGATTGAGGTTAAATTTATCAAATTCAACAGTTTATGACCACTTGAAAGGCCTGGGATTATCCTCGAAGCTCGATGTATGGGTTCCCCATGTTCTCACAGAGAGAAATCTGTGTCGCCGCATTGACGTCTGCGATTCGCTTCTCAAACGTCACGAAAATGATCCGTTTTTGAAGCGCATCATCACTGGGGACGAAAAATGGGTTGTATACAACAACGTCAAACGCAAGAGGTCATGGAGCAAAAAAGATGAACCGGCTCAAACCATTTCCAAAGCCGATATTCACCAAAAAAAGGTGATGCTGTCTGTTTGGTGGGATTTTAAAGGAATCGTTTTTTTTGAGCTTTTACCGGATAACACAACGATTAATTCGGAAGTCTACTGTCATCAGCTGGACAAACTGAATGATGCACTTCAACAGAAAAGGTCAGAACTAATCAACAGGAAAGGTGTAGTGTTTCACCAAGACAACGCGAGACCTCACACAAGTTTGGTCACTCGCCAAAAGCTTTTACAGCTTGAATGGGATACAATGCTACACCCACCATATTCTCCAGACCTGGCACCATCGGATTATTATTTGTTCCGGTCACTCCAAAATTTTTTAGACGGTAAAACCTTCACCTCAAATGAGGAGGTCAAAAACCTCCTCGATCAGTTTTTTGCCAGCAAAGACCAAAAATTTTATGAGCGTGGAATTATGCTACTACCAGAAAGATGGCAAAAGGTGTTGGACCAGAACGGTCAATATATAATTTAATAAAGTATTTGTTTGTTATACGAAAACTGTCTTTCATTTCCACAAAAGAAAAACGAAATGAATTTCCGAACAACCCTATATAAGATAGATAAGTTTACGTACTTTCCCCATGTTATTAATTTAGTGAAACCGTTTAATTGTGGGGGTGAAGAAGGGTCATGACTTCTTCTGTTTTCTCGTCGTAAAAGGGGATGGTTGATAAGAACCATTTTTGACCTATTCAAAGGTCATAGAAACATTCTAAAGTTATTAGAGTAATTACTTCTTGTAATACTTTTTAATATAATCTCTTGTCTAATATAGATATAAAGTTCTGAATTTAATGAATTCTTTGGTACCAAAGGGTTGTCAGGTCTCCTACTTTTTTTCTAATTTAATTAAACAAAAGTGGGTGAATAACCCCCAATAGTTCCCAAAATATATTCTCTTATATTGAAAGGTACTTAAAAACTTGAAAACAAAATTGCGTCTGTTGATGGATTAATGATTTATATGAGTATACTTTTAGGTATGAGAGTTTAGTTTTGCCAAAAGAGCAGTTGCGGAAAGAAATAGAGTATCTTAAAGAAAACCTAACTCAAATCAATAGTCCTGTTGTTTTTTGCCACAATGATCTTCTTTTAGGAAATGTGATATGTACAGATGACGAAAGTTCGGTTGTTTTCATCGATTACGAATACGCCGCGTACAACTATCAGGCATTTGATATTGGTAACCATTTTAACGAATTTGTAGGTGAGGCAATTTTTGTGCAACTGGATTAAAAATTCAACCATTAAAACAAACGAAAAGTTTCACGAATAGTCCAGGTGAATTATTTGAAAAAGTTTTGACTAGACCGGATTTTTACATAGGTACCTGTAAGTCGATAAGGGCAAGGGGGTCCTGTTTTTCAAAGTGATAAATTTTCTTCAATAAATGGAGATTTATTTAAAATAAAAATCCAACTACTATTATTTTGAAATTTTGGGAAAAGAAGCAAAAAATTAGGTCTAGTTCAAACAACAAACCCAAAAGGCTAATTTGCCTGGACTATAAATGTTTAATCGAAACTCGATAACATAGCGATCGTATATTATATGTTTAGGCATCGAACCAGATACAATTGATTACTCAAAATATCCTTCTAAAGAGTTACAATACGACTGGTTAAAAACGTATTTGTTGGAATTCAAAAATACTGACAGCGTTAAAGACGAAGATATTTATAAATTGTATATACAAGTTAACAAATTCTCCCTTACCAGCCACTTGTTTTGGGGCATTTGGGCTTTGATCCAAGCGGAACATTCTTATATCGATTTCGATTTTATAAAGTGAGTTTACCGGCCGGCTCGTTAATTTTTGAAAGCCACTAAAGCAATTTATTGGTTTTCTAGATATGGTGCTATAAGAATTAACGAATATTTAGCTAAGAAAGAGGATTTTTTGAACTTGGATGGGAATGAAACATCCAGCTGATGCGTCGTTATTTTTGTTATTAGTATTTTGTTTGTTATACACATAAATTTGTTTATACAAAAAATTAAATAAAACGAATGCATATCTAAGTCTCCTTTTTATTCCTGTGATAGGCTTTCCATTAAATACCATACAACGCTCGCCAACGTCTAGATCTAATTAAATCCTATTCAAAAACTGATTTAAATTTCAATTCTTGGATTTTCAACGAGAGGGTTGAGTTGAAACCGTTGAAACGAACCAATAATGATTATAAACACTAAAAGTCTGCAAGGTATCATAGGAATTATATTAATAAGTTATCGTTAATCAAAAACTGATTTGAATCAACGTAATTATTGCTTTGAATCAATGCAATCATATAAAACATTATATCATCATCGTAAGGTCCCCGGTCTAAAAGCAGCACTTCCAATTTCAGTTTTCCGAACTATTTTTGAACAGTAATCTCATCCATGCCTTCCTCTGTCGCTCTTTACTCTTTTTCAGGGTTCCGTACCTCAAAAGAAAAGAGAAACCCCTATGGAATCTCTTCATTGTCAGTCAGTCTGTCTGCCAGGGTCCTTTTTCTCAACAAGGCGTGGAGGTATCATGTTATGTATCATCAAATTAATATACAATCTTGAAATCTCTTTGCAAAAGATACAGCCGGTTATACCGTATATTTTGACCCTCGTAAGGAAATCAAAACCTATAGAGTACTTCCTGCTGCTCCAGAACCATAAATTTGTAATTGCATCACAAAAATACCTACAAGTATATACGGAACCCCTCGCTTCTAGTATGTCTCTAACTACCCCCTCATGTCTCAGAAGGTATCCTTCAATTCTATCTTCCTTTCTTAATGCCATCTGTAGGACCTTTTGTTATTCATTCTAATACGTCCTCATTTCTAACCAGTGATGAACAAACTTAAGACCAAGTCAAGACTAATTTAGTTTTGGTCTTGGTTTTTGCTTTTCGACAATACGTCTTGGTCTTGTCTTGTTCTTGGCAATATGATTCTTGTTGTTCGTCAAGGAGACAGTCGTAAAAATGGAGATACATTAACACCTACACAACTATTGGTTTTTTGTTTAGTTTTTCCTCGAGGAGGGAAAATCTTCAAAAGACACCTCTAGTAGGGAGATCAACCAGAAGGCTGGGAAAGGAGAGAGGGATGAGTGAGGTAGGCAAGTGTTTTGGGTGGAGGAATGGTGTGGACAAAAATCGGTGTCGTTGGGCGGACACCCGCGCTAAAGAGCGAAACAATAAAACTTATAATACATTAAGTAGTAAAACAGGAATTGTCACTATTTATGTGTTTTGTACCAACTCTACGTGTCTAAGGGTAATTTATAGTTTTGATTTGTGTCACGTCATTAAAAGCATTCGCGTGATTTGTCATTGTAACAGGTGGTGAAACTCTTAGCAAATTGTGGCAGTGAGATATAATAACCGTTTATAAGGGGTTTGAGACCTTCGACAGTTACTATCAGCACCTTTTGCAAATGAACACGTTAAATAATTTACAAGCATCTATCATTTTTAATAAGTTTGAAGTCCTTTTCTACCTGTTATTATAGGAGAGGTCCTTTTTCTCTGATGAACGCAGTAAGTAACGCAATCAGATTGTAGTTTCAATATTTCGTCAAGATTTTGTCAGTAATAATTGCATTTCGCTAGAAATATATAGATATTGTCTCTAATAGCGTTTATTTACGTTTATTATTTATTTATTTTATTCACTTTAATACAATATAAAATTCAGTCACAAAATGTGAGGCAGTCTGGCCAGTATTTGAATTTTTATTATCTATAAGGAAAAGAGGTTTTTTAGGGTTCCTTACGTCTGATTGAAAAACTGAACCCTTGTAGGACCACTCGTATGTCTGTTTGTCCGTTGTTTTTAATTATATTATCAGTAGGACGTCCTTTAAAGGTATTACGAGTCCGTTCCTGGTAGTTATCAAGAAAACTTTTGTCCAATTATGTAATTCAATTGCTGCAAAACGTTTTTAGACAGTTTAGTTTAGTTTAGTTGTTAGTTAGTTTTAGATAATGAGACTGTTAAGTTATTACGCTGTTCCGCAATTAAACCGATTGGATTTCGTGCTACACAAAGTTTACGATTCATTTGTAAATTGTAAAGTTCAAAAAAACGTTTTAGCATTTTCTGTGTTAATAGCGTGTACATTTCTTGTATTTGTTTGTTATTTCTTCTCTTTGCTACCATTTAAACAAACAAACATTTATCTAGGATTCTTCTTTTTTTATTCAAATGGATTATGAAGTTAGAAACTGGCGTCCAGCCTTCTCATAAAAATTTTCTTGGAAGAAAAACCATTTTCGAAAAGTCATCTTTCGTGACAAATTCGCCCATTTGATTTGTACATATTAGGTAGCTACTTCGTGTGCATAAATTTTCTTGCAATAAATAGATAAATGCTAGTGATCGATTTGAAATGAAAAGAACAATCTTCCGAACGTGTATTACAGTTTAATAGAGGAGGTGCGGGGAGAGAAAATATGGAGAGATTGGTAAAACACGAACACCAGTTGTGGGTTTCCATCAGTTCAAAGTCGGATGGGAATTTTCTTAGTCGGCTATCGAAAATATTTCAGGATTTCTTGGCTGAACAAGAAACAGAAGCCTGTAAAATGGATCTGAACGAGTTTCTGAAATTGACACTTCCTAGTGATCGTGATTTTAGATTAAGAATTTATCAGAAATTGGTCCAAAAGAAAAGGTAGTCAAATGTAACAAATAAAACTTAATATTGCTTCTATTATGTAATTGCAACTGCAAAAAATGTATTAGTTATGCACAAACTTTATTTAATCTGCAACAAAATCCATTCTGCAGTATCGAAACACTTTTAATTTGTTTGAAACTATTGAACTTAGAAAAAGATAATCTTTTTAAATTTTTATATTTTTGTTTGCAAATTGAAAACGATACATAAATCGGTTGATACGCCTAAATAATCAATTATATAACTAATCAGGGTAAGGTTTAAACCACGCCTGATCGACTTATTTGGTTCTATACCTTGTCTGTCAACTGTAGCCGCTGATAGCACGAAGAAAGTTTAAAAATGTCATTTAGGATTTATTATTATCACGTTATCTTATTCCATGTACATAGTTTACGATATTCTGTGCTTATTTCGTATGTAAATCCGCATATCATGTTCAGGCCACATAAATTGTTACAAAGTTCTACACGCATTCGCCAATAAATAATTATGTTTATGATATATAACTAGATGTACGTAATAGTTTGATTTATTTTGAAACTTAACATTTAGCTAATCGTAAAACAGATCAGAAAATATAAAACTCTACTACTTTAAAATAGTAAAGTACATAGTATTATAAAACTATAGGGTTGTTCGGAAAGTCATTTCGTTTTTTCCCGACAGAGGATTTAATTGTATTCTTTTGCACCCAACTTCACATTTAAGCCGTATAATTNTTGAATTTAAGGTACGATTTTTATGTGCTGTAATTTTTAATGTTGGTTACGATTTGCTTATCATTTTCGTCAATCTACTTTTGAAATTATCTTATCTGTTATTAAGTAAACCGCTCGTTATATCTTCTCCTTGAATTGAACGAAAACTTGAGTAGAATAATGAAATTGTTTTTGCTCTTTTGATAAACTTAATTTTTCTTTGTGATGACTATTGTTTCGTCAAAGTTTTGTTTGTTGCGTGTTGTTTGCTTTTTTGCGCATGTTAGATGTGTATTTATTAGTTATAGTAAGTTTCCCAAATTAGCCTTAATCTCTCTCTTAATAGCATCCCTTATGTTCAGCTTTTAACAGACGGTATCACCAACAAATTGGTAAAATGCAGGCTGGAAGGGGAAAAGGAGGAGAACTCAGTCCTGGTTAGAGTTTATGGTCACAAAACTGACCTCTTAATTGATAGAAAGGCTGAAACAAGGTTCGTGAAAAAGATATCGATATCTAGATATTTATTTGAAACGAAACTTTTAAAAATTATACCACTATACAATTTCCGATTTAGAAGTTCTATCCAACGAAAAAAATTACCTATTTGTGTTAATTTTCTAGTATTTTACAAAGTTTTCATATGATAAGACACGAATTGTTGAAGGTTTTGTAAAATAAACGCCAAAGCAATAATTATATTCAGCTACCACTAACGATAAGCCAATTGGTGCATGTAAATAAAATCGAAAATGATAGACATATATTAATTAATGGATGGTTTATTTGAAAATCCATAAGTTTCATTTTTTAAGTACTGAAATAAATGAATAACATTTGTTAATACGTACTATTAAGTCAAACTGATTTCGTAATTTGTTTCGGGGAAGTACAAAGCAGTCTAGACAATATTCTTTTGAAATTACAAAGTTGAAGTTTCATTTGCCAACAACTTCATATAAATATAAAGCAAAATTGAAAACTTTTACAACTTAATATAAATTTCTAGGATTTCCAAAGCATCCAAAACAATTTGATACAGCTACTGATTGTATTAATTTTATCGTGTAGGTACCTCCCGCAATTATCGTCACAAATTAGTACAACCTTCGCGTTTTCAAACCACAAAATGCTGATCAAGGCAATCAAAAAAAATTCAAGGAATTCTTGAATTGATTAATTTCTTATTCGCTTCAAATTAGTGTTTTAGTACCTACTTGACCGTATCTTTTTAAATATTAACAATAATATTTTAGGAACATTAAATTGCTGAACCGAGAAGGTTTAGCGCCAAGTCTGTATGCAACGTTTAGTAATGGTTTAGCATACGAATTTGTACCAGGTTGTACCCTCAATTGCAATTCAGTCGGCCAACCAACAACGTATAAAATGGTCGCAAGACATCTGGCTAAATTGCATAAAGTACGAGAGGGCGTAAACAATGGGGAACATGCTCCAATATTGTGGGATAAGTTAACTAACTTTCTAAACTTGGTACCTCATAAATTTTCTGATCCGGTTAAACAGGAAAGGTAACAAACTCGAATGAATGAGTGACACATAACAGCCGACAGCTTTTAAACTGCAACTATTAAAAAAATTGATCAATGCTTTTTGGGGTATTCCCGGGTCATTTTCTTTAAGTGTAACATACTATAGGGTTGTTCGGAAAGTCATTTCGTTTTTTCCCGACAGAGGATTTAATTGTATTCTTTTGCACCCAACTTCACATTTAAGCCGTATAATTTTTATATGCTTTGAGAGCTCATATAGCAAGGCTTGTGTGTGAAAAATTCCAATTAATTCTACGCA